ACAGATTCCCATCCTGAACCAGGCTGGAACATTGCAGCAGTGGCAGCAGAGTGTGCAGAGCTCTGTGTCCCTGTGCAGGTGCTGGCCTCCCTGCTGGACGTGGTGTACCGCAGTGACGAGAAGGACAAGGCCGTGCCCCTCATCTCCCGCCTGCTCTACTTCGTGTTCCCCTACCTGAGGAACCACAGGCCAGTCTCCCCCTGCTCCTGCCATTTCCCTCCCTCATCTTTTTGTTTCTCCATTCTCTGTTCCCATTCTGATGGGTTTGAGCAGTGCTTCCCCTCAGGAGCTGAACCTGTTGTTGTTTGAGCCCTGGTTGCCCCACCTGGGGTTTTGGGTTTTACTCAGATCTCCCCTTTCTGTGCCTGTCAGGGGATGGGGATGGGCAGCAGAGCATGGGCAGCTCCCAGGATCCACCAGGAAGCCCAAAAACTTCCTCTCTCCCTGTCACCTTCCTAGTTTTTCTCACAAATGTGGGAAATATGGGTGTTATCCAGTGGGGACACAGGGCATGGAGTCCTTGAATGGTTTGGGTTGGAAAGGACCTCAAAGCCCACCCAGTGCCACCCCTGCCATGGCAGGGACACCTTCACTGTCCCCAGTGTCCAACCTGGCCTTGGGCACTGCCAGGGATGCAGGGATGGAATTCCATGCCAGCCCTGCCCACCCTCACAGGGAACAATCCCTTCCTAAAGATCTCATTCAAACCAACCCTTTTGTGAGCTGGAATCTCTTTTGGAATTTAAAAAAAGCCCGTATTGATCATTTCTGTGCTCGCCCCCAGTGCCTACAACGTTCCCAGTTTCCGTGCTGGTGCTCAGCTGCTCAGCTCCCTGAGTGGGTACGCCTACACCAAGAGAGCCTGGAAGAAAGAAGTGCTGGAATTGTACATGGATCCATCTTTTTTCCAGATGGACACTTCCTGCACTCAGTAAGATATGGAATTGCAGCACTCCAAGCTTGTATTCTGAATTTATAAGGAAAGGCTTTAAAGGAGAAGAGTAACATTGGGGAAAATATTCCATTTATTTCTTTCTTATGGAATGGGATAATGTTAAAAATGAATCTCAGCACTAACTCTGCTCCAGAAAAGAGTCTGCACACAAATCCTGCCTGAAACTGTTTCCTTGTATGAAAAGTTTGACCAAAGTAATTTCTGAGGTGCATCCACACCACAGCTTTCCCTGGATACCTAATCCCTTCTTTCTCTCCTGCAGCTGGAGATCCATCATTGATCATCTCCTCACACATGAGAAAACCATGTTCAAGGATTTGATGAGTAAGTATCAGCTGCTGATCATTTATTTCTGCCTCACTTTGAAATCCATTTGCATTTGAGCCATTTGGGTGCATTTTTCATCCTTTCTAAAAGAATTATTGTGTTATAACACAAGATAAATTTTATTATGTGATGTGTGCCAGCAATTTATATATAAACACCAACGGGATGGGGCTACTGTGACAAGTTTGGTTTAACTAAGTTACAACAGATTTGTGATTTTTGCTAGAGCTATCAGTGAAGAGAGTTACTGCATTTAAAAGTTCTTCACTTAATTTAGGTGGTTTTTTTTAAAGCTCAACTTTGCTTGTAATAATTTGTGAGCTGGGTAATGAACAGAACAAACACTTGGGAATTTCAACAATGCATACTGTGAATTATCAGAATTTTGCATTGCTCAATTAAGAGAATTTTTTTCCAGTGGTAAATAGATAACTGCAAATTTTTGACTTGCTAAAGTTAGCAATTTGGTTCTGACTTTAATTACAATTTGTGCTGTCATTTCTAAAACTGTGAAAACAGTCTTTGGAAACTTGCAGGGAAGAAAAACCTATTCTATTATTAATAAAGGATTTGTCTTAGAAGGGTCTTGCTGAAAAATGAGATCACAAAGTTGCATTTTTTCTTTTACAATTCTTGGTCTGTGACCCAGGAGAGTTTTTTTCCTGAAAAATTTGAGGATGCAGGGATGATGTCCAGCCCCAAGGGCAGTTCCTGAGGGAGGGCTAACTGACCCAGGAGAGTTTTTCTGGAAGATTTGAGAATCCAGGGATGATGGGCAGCCCCAAAGGAGGCAGTTCCTGAGGGAGGGTGGATAACTGACCCAGGAGAGGTTTTTTTTCTGGAAAATAAAAGGATGCAGGGCTGATGTCCAGCCCCAAAGGCAGTTCCTGAGGGGTGGATAACTGACCCAGGAGAGTTTTTTTCTGGAAGATTTCAGTATCCAGGGATAATGGCCAGCCCCAAAGGAGGCAATTCTTGAGGGAGGGTGGATAACTGACCCAGGAGAGTTTTTTTTCTGGAAGATTTGAGGATGCAGGGCTGATGGGCAGCCCCAAAGGCAGTTCCTGAGGGAGGGTGGATAACTGACCCAGGAGAGTTTTTTACTGGAAAATTTAAGGATCCAAGGGTGATGGGCAGCCCCAAAGGAGGCAGTTCCTGAGGGGTACATAACTGATCCAGGAGAGGTTTTTTTTCTGGAAAATTTCAGTATCCAGGGATAATGTCCAGCCCCAAAGGAGGCAATTCCTGAGGGGTGGATAACTGACCCAGGAGAGTTTTTTTTCTGGAAGATTTGAGGATGCAGGGCTGATGGGCAGCCCCAAAGGAGGCAGTTCCTGACGGGGGGTGGATAACTGACCCAGGAGAGTTTTTTCTGGAAAATTTCAGTATCCATGGGTGATGGACAGCCCCAAAGGCAATTCCTGAGGGAGGGTGGATAACTGACCCAGGAGAGTTTTTTTTTCTGGAAAATTTCAGTATCCAGGGATAATGGCCAGCCCCAAATGAGGCAGTTCCTGAGGGGTGGATAACTGATCCAGGAGAGTTTTTTTTCTGGAAAATTTGAGGATGCAGGGCTGATGGGCAGCCCCAAAGGCAGTTCCTGAGGGAGGGTGGATAACTGACCCAGGTGAGTTTTCCTGGAAGATTTGAGGATCCAGGGCTGATGGGCAGCCCCAAGGGCAGGCAGTTCCTGAGGGGTGGACAACTGACCCAGGGGAGTTTTTTTCTGGAAGATTTCAGTATCCAGGGGTGATGGGCAGCCCCAAAGGAGGCAATTCCTGAGGGAGGGTGGATAACTGACCCAGGAGAGTTTTCCTGGAAGATTTGAGGATCCAGGGCTGATGGGCAGCCCCAAAGGCAGTTCCTGAGGGGTGGATAACTGACCCAGGAGAGATTTTTTTTTCTGGAAGATTTGAGGATGCAGGGGTGATGGGCAGCCCCAAAGGAGGCAATTCCTGAGGGGGGATGGCTAACTTACCCAGGAGAGTTTTTTCTGGAAGATTTCAGTATCCAGGGCTGATGTCCAGCCCCAAAGGCAGTTCCTGAGGGAGGGATAACTGACCCAGGAGAATTTTTTCCTGGAAGATTTCAGTATCCAGGGCTGATGTCCAGCCCCAAAGGCAGTTCCTGAGGGAGGGCTAACTGACCCAGGAGAGATTTTTTCTGGAAAATTTAAGGATCCAGGGGTGATGGGCAGCCCCAAAGGAGGCAGTTCCTGAGGGAGGGTGGATAACTGACCCAGGAGAGTTTTTCTGGAAGATTTGAGGATGCAGGGCTGATGTCCAGCCCTATGACAGTTCCTGAGGGGTGCATAACTGATCCAGGAGAGTTTTTTTTTTCTGGAAAATTTCAGTATCCAGGGATAATGGCCAGCCCCAAAGGAGGCAATTCCTGAGGGGTGGATAACTGACCCAGGAGAGTTTTTTTTTCCTGGAAAAATCGAGGATGCAGGGCTGATGGGCAGCCCCAAAGGAGGCAGTTCCTGAGGGTGGATAACTGACCCAGGAGAGTTTTTTTTCTGGAAAATTTGAGGATGCAGGGGTGATGTCCAGCCCCAAAGGGAGTTCCTGAGGGAGGGTGGATAACTGAACCAGGAGAGTTTTTTCTGGAAAATTTCAGTATCCAGGGATAATGGCCAGCCTCAAAGGCAGTTCCTGAGGGGTGGATAACTGACCCAGGTGAGTTTTCCTGGAAGATTTGAGGATCCAGGGCTGATGGGCAGCCCCAAAGGCAGGCAGTTCCTGAGGGGTGGATAACTGACCCAGGAGAATTTTTTTCTGGAAAATTTAAGGATGCAGGGCTGATGGGCAGCCCCAAAGGCAGGCAGTTCCTGAGGGAGGGTGGATAACTGACCCAGGAGAGATTTTTTTCTGGAAAATTTAAGGATCCAGGGCTGATGTCCAGCCCCAAAGGAGGCAGTTCCTGAGAGGTGGATAACTGACCCAGGAGAGGTTTTTTCTGGAAAATTTCAGTATCCAGGGCTGATGTCCAGCCCTATGACAATTCCTGAGGGAGGGCTAACTGACCCAGGAGAGTTTTTCTGGAAAATTTGAGGATCCAGGGCTGATGTCCAGCCCCAAAGGAGGCAGTTCCTGAGGGGTGCATAACTGATCCAGGAGAGTTTTTTTTCTGGAAGATTTCAGTATCCAGGGCTGATGGCCAGCCACAGAGGGAGTTCCTGAGGGAGGGCTAACTGACCCAGGAGAGTTTTTTTCTGGAAAATTTGAGGATGCAGGGCTGATGGGCAGCCCCAAAGGCGGCAGTTCCTGAGGGAGGGTGGATAACTGACCCAGAAGAGTTTTCCTGGAAGTTTTCAGTATCCAGGGATAATGTCCAGCCCCAGAGGCAGTTCCTGAGGGAGGGTGCATAACTGACCCAGGACAGTTTTCCTGGAAGATTTGAGGATCCAGGGGTGATGGGCAGCCCCAAGGGCAGGCAGTTCCTGAGGGGTGGATAACTGACTCAGGAGAGTTTTTTCTGGAAGATTTGAGGATCCAGGGGTGATGGGCAGCTCCAAAGGAGGCAATTCCTGAGGGAGGGTGGATAACTGACCCAGGAGAGTTTTTTTTCTGGAAGATTTCAGTATCCAGGGCTGATGGGCAGCCCCAAAGGAGGCAGTTCCTGAGGGAGGGATAACTGACCCAGGAGAGTTTATTCTGGAATATTTCAGTATCCAGGGATAATGGCCAGCCCCAAAGGAGGCAGTTCCTGAGGGTGGATAACTGACCCAGGAGAATTTTCCTGGAAGATTTGAGGATGCAGGGCTGATGGGCAGCTCCAAAGGCAGGCAATTCCTGAGGGAGAGTGGATAACTGACCCAGGAGAATTTTTTCTGGAAAATTTAAGGATGCAGGGCTGATGGCCAGCCCCAAAAGCAGGCAATTCCTGAGGGAGAGTGGATAACTGACCCAGGAGAGTTTTTTCTGGAAAATTTCAGTATCCAGGGATAATGGCCAGCCCCAAAAGAGGCAATTCCTGAGGGAGGGTGGATAACTGACCCAGGTGAGTTTTCCTGGAAAATTTGAGGATCCAGGGGTGATGGGCAGCCCCAAGGGCAGTTCCTGAGGGAGGGTGGATAACTGATCCAGGAGAGTTTTTTTTCTGGAAAATTTGAGGATGCAGGGCTGATGGGCAGCCCCAAAGTACAGTTCCTGAGGGAGGGTGGATAACTGACCCAGGAGAGTTTTTTTTCTGGAAAATTTGAGGATCCAGGGCTGATTGGCAGCCCCAAAGGCAGGCAATTCCTGAGGGGAGATGGCTAACTTACCCAGGAGAGTTTTTTCTGGAAAATTTCAGTATCCAGGGGTGATGGGCAGCCCCAAGGGCAGTTCCTGAGGGAGGGTGGATAACTGATCCAGGAGAGTTTTTTTTTTCTGGAAAATTTAAGGATGCAGGGATGATGTCCAGCCCCAAAGGAGGCAGTTCCTGAGGGAGAGCTAACTGACCCAGGAGAGTTTTTTCTGGAAAATTTCAGTATCCAGGGATAATGGCCAGCCCCAAAGGCAGTTCCTGAGGGAGGCCTAAATGACCCAGGAGAGTTTTTTCCTGGAAGATTTGAGGATCCAGGGATGATGGGCAGCCCCAAAGGCAGGCAATTCCTGAGGGAGGGATAACTGACCCAGGAGAGTTTTTTTTATGGAAAATTTGAGGATGCAGGGCTGATGTCCAGCCCCAAGGGCAGTTCCTGAGGGGTGGATAACTGACCCAGGAGAGTTTTTTCTGGAAAATTTCAGTATCCAGGGCTGATGTCCAGCCCCAAAGGAGGCAGTTCCTGAGGGAGGGTGGATAACTGACCCAGGAGAATTTTCCTGGAAGATTTCAGTATCCAGGGATAATGGCCAGCCCCAAAGGAGGCAATTCCTGAGAGGGAGTGGCTAACTGACCCAGGAGAGTTTATTCTGGAAAATTTGAGGATCCAGGGGTGANGAGCTGTGCCAGCACCTGCGGCTGCCCACCGTCACCCTGGGCACGGATGATGTCTGGAAAAAGGGAGGGAGCATCCAGAAAACTCTGCGCTGCACCCAGGAGCTGGTGGCCAAGTTTGCCAGCAAATACATTTTTGGGATGCAGCTCCAGGAAATGAGTCCCGAAGGGATCGCGGCGATGAATCCGAGTGGGAAGGAGAAAAAGGAGAATGGCTACAGGTTACCTGAGAGCGGCAGCAAGAAGAAGAGTCCCTGGGATGGCAAACAAATCACTGTGCCCCAGGTGAAGCAAATGCTCTCAGAGCTGTTCTCAGCCAGGGGCTCACCCTTCAGGAGCAAGAATTCCACTGCTCTGCTCTCTGAGCACAAAAAGGAGAAGGAGGAGGAGGAGGAGTGGGACCTCGAGCTGGTGCTGGGGCCGCTCCGAGGGGACTGCAGGGAAGCTTTCTCTGCAGCTTGTCACCTGCTGCTGGACTGCACCACATTCCCAGTGTACCTGTCTGAGGACGAGATGGAACACTTGTACCTCTCTCTGTTCCAGGGGCCTGGTAAGAATTTCCCTCTCCTGAGCATTTTCAGGAGGCAAACAGGGAGAGCTTGGCTATTTTCAAGACCAGATCCAGTAAAAAACCCTTGGACTGGGCTGAAGGAAAATTGGGAATTAAAGCCTCACCCACCTCAGCGTCTGGGGTGTGTCTGGCAGCTGAGTTTTACCAGGCTTCTTCAATTCAAATTTTTTTTAAAAAAATTCCACTCAAAAATTTAGTACTGAAGGGAGACAAGAACCTCCTGGCCTGTACAGCCCTGCATGGTTCAGGATTTTCAGGATATCCATCCCTGTTGTCCATGGGTTGTGTCCCCAAAAAAGGATGGGTGTAGGTGGAAAATTTAAGCTCTAAACCATAACAGAGGCAAAATCATCTCTTATCCCAAACCCTCAGCATTCAAAGGAGTTCAATGTAACAAATAAGAATAATTTTGTACAGCTGGAGCTGTTTGTTCTTGGATTTCCAGTTCATTCCTTGGCTTCAGCAGGAGCTGGTATTGACCTGAAGGTTAACTCACAAACAGGTTTGTGGGGAATGGAGAGGTGGGAAACTGGAAAATTGGGTTCTGTTCCTCACCTCACTCCACATTCCTGCTGTCTGATGATATTCCCATATCTCCATGGCTGAGGATGGGAATTAAAAAGAGTTAAAGAGTTAAAGAGAGTTAAAGAATAATTCCACTGCTCCCTCAGGAAAAGATGGCTTGGATTGATGTCAGCCACTCCAGTTATAATTTATAAATCCTGGAAGAGCATCCATGGATCCTGAGCCCTCTGGAGCTCTTTGTGACAATGGCAGCTGGAAAACAAACCAGCAGCTCTAAATAATCAACAGATTAATTGGGAATATTTATTGGGAATATTATATATTATTGGGTTGGGAATAAACACAAAGGGCAAAACAGAAATCCTGGAGGTTTTGGGGTCCTGCAAGAGCTTTCTGCTGGGAGAAGAAGGGAAAACATGGAGAGGTTGTGGCTGCCTCATCCCTGAAAATGTTCCAGGCCAGACTTGGAGCACCCTGGGACAGTGGAAGGTGTCCCTGCCATCTCCAAGGTCCCTTCCAGCCCAAACCTGCTGTGATGCCATGAGCTGTTGGTGACAGGATCTGGGCAGTCATTTTGCTCCTGTCACCTTTCTTCAAGGATTTTGGGAGTATGACCCCAACCCTGAGGTTGTTACATGTGGATTCTTTTGCTGCTTTTTTTTGCCAGGGTCAGGATTAAATGTGTGAGAGGGGATTTCTTGTTGGGGCTCAGATGTTTATCAGTTCTTATCTTTGTCACATCTCACAAACCCTGAGCTCTGCAGCACTTCACTCCAACAAACTAAAAATGGAGCCCTGTCTCTCTCTACAAGGACTTTTAAGGATAAACTGTCCAATTAAGAAATGACACCTCAATTATTTTCACTTTTAACCCAATAACCAACCACCCATGCCCGCAATGGGGACTTTTTTATCCAATGACACAAAACCACCCAAGCTGCAGATGGTCACCCTTCCTCCCATTGCAGTCCTGAAGATGATCTCAGAGAAAACAGATTTCTACCAGGTGTCCGTTTTCTTTTCCTTTTTTTTCCATGGAGAAGAAGGTGGAGAAGAAGGAGCAGCCTTCACCCCAAAACCTCCATCTTGCTTTCTGTCTATTCCTGTATTCTAAATCCTTCAACTCTGAGTTTCCCACCCTGTGATATCACACACTTCTGTTCAAACTCCACACCTACAATTTCAGTTTTATTATTGAATTTTGGAAGCTTCTCCAGGCCCTCAGGCCANTCTTAGAAGGGTCTTGCTGAAAAATGAGATCACAAAGTTGCATTTTTTCTTTTACAATTCTTGGTCTGTGACCCAGGAGAGTTTTTTTCCTGGAAAATTTGAGGATCCAGGGCTGATGGGCGGCCCCAAAGGAGGCAGTTCCTGAGGGTGGATAACTGACCCAGGAGAGTTTTTTTTCTGGAAAATTTCAGTATCCAGGGATAATGGCCAGCCCCAAAGGAGGCAGTTCCTGAGGGAGGGTGGATAACTGACCCAGGAGAATTTTCCTGGAAGATTTCAGTATCCAGGGATAATGGCCAGCCCCAAAGGAGGCAATTCCTGAGGGAGGGTAGATAACTGACCCAGGAGAGTTTTTCTGGAAAGTTTGAGGATGCAGGGATGATGGGCAGCCCCAAAGGAGGCAGTTCCCGAGGGAGGGCTAACTGAGACAGCAGAGTTTATTCTGGAAAATTTAAGGATCCAGGGGTGCTGGGCAGCCCCAAAGGAGGCAGTTCCTGAGGGAGGGTGGATAACTGACCCAGGAGAGTTTTTTTCTGGAAAATTTCAGTATCCAGGGCTGATGTCCAGCCCTATGACAGTTCCTGAGGGGTGGATAACTGACCCAGGAGAGATTTTTTTTTCTGGAAAATTTCAGTATCCAGAGATAATGTCCAGCCCCAAAGGCAGGCAGTTCCTGAGGGGTGGATAACTGACCCAGGAGAGTTTATTCTGGAAAATTTCAGTATCCAGGGATAATGGCCAGCCCCAAAGGAGGCAATTCCTGAGGGAGAGTGGATAACTGACCCAGGAGAGTTTTTTTCTGGAAAATTTAGGGATGCAGGGCTGATGTCCAGCCCCAAAGGAGGCAGTTCCTGAGGGGTGGATAACTGACCCAGGACAGTTTTTCTGGAAAATTTGAGGATCCAGGGCTGATGGGCAGCCCCAAAGGCAGGCAGTTCCTGAGGGGTGGATAACTGACCCAGGAGAGTTTTCCTGGAAGATTTCAGTATCCAGGGATAATGGCCAGCCCCAAAGGCAGTTCCTGAGGGAGGGTGGATAACTGACCCAGGAGAGTTTATTCTGGAAAATTTGAGGATCCAGGGGTGATGGGCAGCCCCAAAGGAGGCAGTTCCTGAGGGAGAGCTAACTGACCCAGGAGAGTTTTTTTCTGGAAAATTTAAGGATGCAGGGCTGATGGGCAGCCCCAAAGGCAGTTCCTGAGGGAGGGTGGATAACTGACCCAGGTGAGTTTTCCTGGAAAATTTGAGGATCCAGGGGTGATGGGCAGCCCCAAAGGCAGGCAATTCCTGAGGGAGGGTGGATAACTGACCCAGGAGAGATTTTTTTCTGGAAAATTTAAGGATCCAGGGCTGATGTCCAGCCCCAAAGGAGGCAGTTCNTTTTTTTTCATTTTTGGAGTTGAAAGGATGTTATAGGAAGGAATGTGGTTTAAATGCTTTATTTATTCAAGGAATTTAGAATGAATTGTGACAATTGTAGAGGAATGGTTTTTGCTGGTTGTTGCATTTTGCAGGAGTCTGACAGGCTCTGTCCATGCTTTTACAATTCCCTGGGATTTGTTCAGCATGGGATTAGTGCTGGGTTTAATCCCTGGTTCCAAAACCCAGCACTAGATATTAGCTGGGGTTTTTAGTTCAAGCACAAATCCTGTCGTTTTTGTCAGGATTTCCCACTGCCCCAGCTCCACCAATATCTGTAAAATCACTTTATTTTGGCTTGATTTTATAGTATTTGATCTCACAATAAGCTGTATTCTAAGTGAGCCAGTTATTAATTATTTTCCTTCCTTAACACAATGGCAGCACAGTTCTTTAACAGCTGACAGAACATTTTGCCCAACAATATTTTAACCAGTCTTTGCTATCGTTCTCCCCTCCTTGCAAATTTGCAACATGAAAGTTTGCAAACATTTTTAAAGCTTCCCACCAATAACCAATGTATTCCAATTTTGTTTCAACTTGGAAACCTCCCTAAATCTCCTTTTTTTCCTTGCCAAGGGGACAAGGCTGGAGGCTCTGTTCAGGTTCTCTGTCATGTGGCACCTGACCAGGGAGATCCAAGGCAGCAGAGTGACCTCCCACAACCGCTCCTTTGATAGGTATTTACATTTTTTATATTTAATTTTATTGTGCTTTATTCTCTTTTCTTTAATGTGGGGAGGAGTTCTCTGTAGGGAGCATGAAAAAATGGACAAAAGGAACATTTTCCACTTCCTTGGAGTTTATCTTTGCAGGGCACTCTGCATACTCTGTGGTTTTTTTGGGTGAAGGAAGTTGCTGGAATAAAATAAAATAAAAAATAAAAATAGAGTAAAAAAGTAAAAATAGAAAGAGCTTCATAAAGGAGAAGTAGCTTCTCTGGAGAGCATTTTTTTAAAAAATCTTGGAGTGAATTAAATTTTCCTTCCAAAGAAAATAACACCAGCTCCTTGTAAAAATAAAAATCTTAGTTTAGTTTTACTTCCTATGGGATAAAATGAGATAAAAGCTTAAAAAGGCCTTTAAAAGATCACCTTGGGCAGCACAAGACCCAGTGGGGCTACACCCAAGATGGACCCTGGGTCAGGAGTTTTCTCACTTTTATAGGTTTTGGTCCATTTCCATATTGTTAATTGTCCAATTACAGCTCCAGGTTATGCAGTCCCATCCTCCCAGATTGCTCTCCTCAATTTGCTGCTGTTTCTACTTTTTGGGCCTGGAAAAGATTGTTTTGTCTGACTAAACTCTGAGGAGAACTTGCTAACACTTCATATGAAGTTCAGAGTTGTATGAGCAGTACAAAATCTGGAATATATGAAAGCTAAAACTTCAGGCATCAACAGTAACTAACACTTTATAAGGAGTTTAGAGTTATGCACTAATGTGTGAGAAGTGGATTTGTAAGAATGCATTGTAAGATTTGTAAGAATGGATTTGTAAGAATCCACCCACTAATCCATAAAATAATGTGTAAGAATCCATGCACTAAAGTGTGAGAAATCCATTCCTCACATCAATGCAGTACAGGATTTTAAAACCAGAAAAGTTGCTGATTTGGGAAAACAAACAAACTCCACAATTTTTGTGAAAGTTGTAAA